GATATCAAAGGCAGCGAAAGATACATCTATGCTGCCTTCAAAAGTCGATCAGATGAAGGTATCTCATGAGACCGGAAATGAAGCTAACTTTGGATTCAGATGTGCCTTGATGCCTTCCTACCTTGGGATATGTCCACCAAAGGCAGCATTTTAGAGCTTTCGGACGCAGCTCATGTTCTGTTCTGTCTTTGGTTGCTGAAGTGTTGTGGTTTTTGTCACTCTGATTCCTGAGTTTTTGCTGGCGTTTGCATTCTGGATTACTTTGTGTATTGTGTATTTTGCCCTGTTTTTGTCAGGGAGTCTCTGTCAGCATTCACCAGCTTTGGACTCCATACCCCAGAATCCTCCCCGGCTCACACCTGTTCACAGTCCATAATACAGAAACACAATACAACAATGATATAATACATACATATATGTTCTAAGTTTACACAAAAGGTATTTCTTGGACAACTAATGCGTAGAACTGTTAATACAATAATCCAGATGTCATGGCAAAAGTGTAACCAGTGCAACAAGACCACAAACCACACAATAACACCAATGCCGAATAACAAGTAAATAACAAAATAAATTGTGTACTTTTTCGCTTTCTGTTTTTAAAACTGTGTGTAAATATGTCTGTAATTTAATGCTACCAATGCTTTGGCCGTGTAACACCTTTTTATCATACAAATACAGCCACTTGAATCTCAAATCTATTAACATTATGACAATGCAAAAGAACAAATGTACATGTGCCAATGAATTCAAAAAGTTCAGGTGAATTAAAACAAGAAACGCACATAACCAATGCTGGTATGCGTATAAGTACATTTTGAAAGGCAAATTCATGACAAAACGTCTTCCTGTCTCTCTGTAGGTCAGAATGTGGTTTTAACAGGTAATAATGTAAACCAAGACATGACACACTGTACTTGCTCATCTAAGTGTCTCCAGCATCAGATTATTAAAGAATATTACCCTTCAGTCTTGAATAATACACATTTGATTGATGGAAAAACAAGAGAAAGGAACTATGAAGAAGATCTTTATGGACTGAGTCCAGATCTTGAGAAGAAGAAAAAAAAACCAAGTAATTTCATCTTGTAGAAAAATGTCAAATGTTTTTGGCGAAAAAGCCAGACTATTTTTCCCTGTTGTTTTTAAATCTAATTTAAGTCTAATTTAAGTTTACTCATTTCATTAACTTATGTTCATTTTACATATCATATCTAACATCACATCAGACATCTGGCTACCTGCAGAAAAGACCAGTTTATTCTTATTGTATCTAACTTTCATTATAATTGTAAAGTAAAACTGGCACAATATTTTGTATTCTAACCAATAAAGACATTTTTTCTTTTATTTGTGAACTGAAATCCACACATGACAGACTGATAATTGGAGATAGTCACTGTGATCAGAAACCTGTTCGATATTACTAATTGGGAAGACATGTGAAAGTCAACTTGTCTCTTAGGAGTCTTTAATATACTGAAGTAAATTTAAAAAATATTAACAATTATCTGTTGCACATTTCTGATGCTCACCTGGTTACTGTTGTCACTTATGTCACTTATGTCTGACATGTCATCCGTAGAGCGCACAGAAGCACTACGCAGTATTTAAATAAGTATTTCACCATAATTTTGGAATTATTTAAGTGCAATATATTCAAATAAATCATATATTGATAACATTGGGTCGCCACGATGAACAGGTACGTTTGATGAATTTTAAACAAAACGCTGTTTGTACAAACACGTGTCGTACTTCCCAATGAGAGCCTGATGTAGCTTGCGTCCTCATATTTGTGTTTGGCCTGCTGTGTTTCGGTTGTCAAATGCTTTACTGAAACTATTAAAGGGAAAACTTGTGTTGTTAATACATTACACATGAATTGGTTAATGAATGCTTATCAGGTTTATATGGAGGGTTTGTCTGCTGTAGCTATTATTTTGATTTAGTCGTTAGCAATTAGCATTAACATTCTGTATTACTGTTTTTTGTTTCCCGGTGTATGTGCAGTTAGTTTTAGTTCGTAGTAGTTTGAATCGACTAGTCTTACAGTTGATAAGGTTAAGGTTTTACTAGTAGGGTAAGATGGGTGAAAACTCTCCTCGTAATAACAATTACTGCTAAACTGTAGCATATTTAGAGATGAGATTAACATGTATAAATAATAACATACAGGTAATGCACTGTAGTGATCTTATTATTATTATTATTATTATTTTTATAGTCAGTTTCATAATATTTCTCTTTAGAAGAAGAATGCAAGCTGCCTTAAGAACAAAGAACAGTGGCACAAATGACATAAACATTTAGTAAAAATGTTCACTTTTCATTTTCGTTAACTTTTCTGACTATTTACATCTAGTTACAATTGTTACAGCTTTCATTGGTTTCTCTGCGGTGCAGAAGACGATGTTTTGCGCGGTTTATGCACCGTATTGATCTTATTACAGAATGAGATCTTCAGACTGCAAACTAAATGACACAGCGATTAACAAAAGGAGATCAGGTGGTTATTTTCTCTAATCAAAAGAGCTTTATTGGGTTATTGTGCCCTCACCCGACTCTGTCCTCTATAATTATTTGACCTGTTAATACCTGCCTACGATACACCATATAAGTAAATCGTCTTGTTGAAATCAAACACATATATAAAAAGATAAAAAAGAGCATATACAATATTTCCTCTGCATTTTCTTGAGCTACTCCTTTTGTCACTATTATACTTCTTGAGAAAACTTTGACCACTATTAACAATCAGAAAAAGTGTAATTTCAGTTACAAAAAATCATTCACATTCCTTCACTTGAAACCTTACATTTTCAATGAAAATGCTTTTTAAATATCTGCTTTTCAAATTTGTTAACGCACTTCACATAAAACACATATTTTCCACTGTTTGTCTGAACTATCATGAATGACCTGCAGAGGGCAGCAGAGGCGCTCTGATGCAAATAGAAAATAAAGACGATATAACGATTCAAAATATAACGATTACTGTCATAACAGAAGCATTACGATCTGTCATGTGATGAAAAAAAAAGAACGACTTAATTGTTTTTCTACTCTGCGTTTATTTTAACACGAACAATGTTCATCTAATTCAATAAATAGAATGAATAAATCAGAGTGATGTGAGTGTGTGTTGCTATAGCTCTTTTCTGTGTGGTTAAGGTGTCATCTATAGCTCTGTGGTGTTTCCAGTCAGAAAGAGATGTTTGCTGGGTAACTGCATAGAGGAAATAAATCTGGGTTACAGAATGAAGAATCATACAGTTGAGGCTATGCGCTCTTACAGGGGATTTACTAAATGAAAAAGAACGCTAATTTAAAATATTTACTAAGTATTATAGGCCTACTGATGTTAGTTCTGATCCTCAGATATGATTGGTTGAGCTGTGTTCCATGAGTGCTGATATTTAGTCCAACAGCATTTCCCAGAAGGCCTAGTTTAAGCACTTCTAGTATGACTTTTTGTCATTTCTGCCATATGTACATTAACTGACAGTCACCACTAATAAGCTACCACTAAATATTGTAGAAACTTAATTTGCTGTAAAGTTGCTTTGCAATGATTTGTATCGTGAAAAGCGCTGTACAAATAAACTTGAACTGAACTGAACTGAACTTTTATGTAAAAGCATTTATTTCTTTGAGAATGACCCTAGATTCACATAAAGCTGCTTTAACAGTTGCAGACTATTTATTGTTAGTCATTCATGGCGAAATAAACTTCAGTATCAAGTGTGAAGGTACTTTGCATAACACTCTTGGCAAGCACTAAATGTGTAGATCTAGTATACAAACAAAGCAGACATAATGCAATGCTGCTGTTTCCATTTGAGGTCAAGACAACTGTGAGAACTGAGATACATAAATGCATAAAGGGATTGAAAGAATACTGCACTCGGTTCTTGGTTAAACCTCCAGTCTAGACAAAGGTGAGCGACCCTGTTCGTCATTGGGTGTCAAGTACCAAATGCAGCAGAACATATTTATGGTTTTGGTTGAGCACTTCAGTTGAGTTCAGTTGAAAATAAAGCCAGCTGTTTAATATATTATATATAATATACAAATATGACATAACATTATAATGGAAGTGATACAAATTTGAGGTGTGACCGATGCCATGCCATTTCTAAAGAAACTTAGAATTTGTTGTATAGTTTTCTTAGTTTTTTTATTTATTATTAATTTATGAATAAATCTGACAATGATGCTTAATGTGTGTCATGTTCATATATTCATAAATGTTGAAATGATGTTGAAATTGCATTGACTTTTTTATTGAATAAAATGCTGTTTACATGAAGAAGTATAATATAATTATCGAGAAACTGGTAGTAATATCCAGCTAAACAATTTCATTGCTGATTTTTCAGGCTATTCATTATTCACAAAAATGCACAAAACATATATTTATTTATTTAGTACTGAGTGTAAACTTAATATGAATACAGATTTTAACTGAAAGGTTAAATTGTGTTTTCAGCACAAGGGTGTTTTCATAAAAGTCCGTTTCAAATGCCATTTTACACAATTCATATACTATTTATAGATTAAAAACTATTGTAGACGTAAGAATGTATTAAAAGTAGTCATATAAATATTTTCTTAAACATGAGTTTAAAAGAATGGAGGCAATCAAATACAAAGACAATGATTTTCCATTCAGAAAACATTTATGCCATTCATTTGCTAGCTATTTTTTTTTCTCAATACAAAAAGCACTTTAAAAATCCAAGTAACCTTTGGTCATTTAACTGATGGTGTTTACTATTTGTACAGATTCATTTATACAGTGATTGATTAAATTATATCACATGCAACTTTTTTGTTTGTTTTTACTTTTATTTTATTTTTACTCTTTTTCTTCCTTTCCCGCGGATCCCCTGGCATTTAAAAAAAACCCGATCTAAAGAATGTATAGTTGCCGAACTGTTTGTGGTCAGTGGTTTGAGAGTTGCATGAACTTCAAGCAACAAAACAAGCAGTTATACTCATGTGTTATGTGTTGGTGGCTTTAGAGCAGCATAGGTGCTGTTGACTTGGCTTGTCCGAATATTTCTACGCAGCTTGGAAAAATCCACCTCACGAAAGAGCAATGAAGAAAACGATATAAGCTCGAGCTGTCCATGGACCAAAATGAATGTTTCAATTAATCAAAAAAATAGGATACTGTTTGAGTAAAAGGTCAGCAGGAATGCTAAATCATACTATCAAGACCCACATTAATGATTTTTTTTTTTTTACCTGTAATTGGTCCTGATGCTGCTCTGTAACCTGCATCTGCTGTAGATCAGTGTTGAGTTGTTGTGTTCGTTCTGAAGATCTTTTATTTCCAACAACAAAAACCTTTAATAGTCCTAACAATGGAATAGCAAATTCAGATTCAGTATATAAAGGGTGTATTTTTATTTCTTAAATTATTTAGATAAGTCAACTAAAATACCAAAATTATAGCGAAAAGGCTAAATAAAAAACTTACATCTGTCTATGGAGAACAGCATCATATTGATAACTCACCGATCACCACAATGAGCAGAAGTCCGTTCATCAGGCCAGATATGATGATGATGATAATCTGCCATTGTGTCTGATTCTGATCAATAAACTCCTCCACTGTATGATTGTGACACTCAGTTAGATGAGCTGATTCTGTAATAAAAATGTCCACAGTCTGTTACTGTAACAACTGCTGACATCTGGAGCACAATGACTGCAATTTTGTAGAACTAAATTACATTTCTATAACAGATTAAACTTTGTGTAGAGCAACCAATAAGTGGTCTATGGGGTTCAAAAAACTGAAGAAGTGAATTACAAATACTTATAAATAAATAAGAGACCATGAAAATGTAAGCAAATGGACTCACCAGTGATGTATAGTCTGGTGCTGTTGCTGAGTTTTGGAGGTGTTTCTGTGTTCATACAGTAATAAACTCCTAATTCATCAGCAGTCACATTATTAATAACCAGACGATGTTTAAACTGCACTGAATATTTGTTTCTGAATGTTTTGTTAAAGTAAAAAGGTGATTTTGGTGTTGAGAATGATCGTAGAATCACTGTCGGAGGATCTGATGTTTTCAGTAAAATCCAATAAACCTCATTTTCATCAAGATCACAGTTTATGGTCACATTTGATCCCAAATCAGTTGATAGATCTGAAACTGCAGCTTGACAACACATTAATACATCTGAAAGATAAAAAAGTCAATAAGCATACATCATAATTAAGACCGGCCTCTCAAAATCACTGTGAACCTTTAACAAAAAATAATTTACAACAAAGTGCATGTTACAGTCATAATATATAATGAACTTACAGAGCTGAAGCTGAAGGATCTTCATTTTCTTGCCTGATTAAAAGCGTTGAATCTAATGAAGCCTGGTTCCCTCCACACAGCATTTATAATGAAGTCTACTGCAGCTCTCAAGCAGAAACCAGAGGAAGTCAAGTTTGCTCTGACCACATTGCAGACAGTTTTTTTTTCAACATCTAACACCCACCATCATAATCATTTTATTAATTAGATTAACCATGCCAGTACATTACCAGATATTTGCAGTAACATTAGCAAACCCCTCATTTTCATCAAGATCACAGTTTATGGTCACATTTGATCCCAGATCAGTCAGTAGATCTGAAACTGCAGCTTGACAACACATTAATACATCTATAAGATAAAAAAGTCAATAAGCATACATCATAATTAAGACCGGCCTCTCAAAATCACTGTGAACCTTTAACATAAATAATTTACAACAAAGTGCATGTTACAGTCATAATATATAATGAACTTACAGAGCTGAAGCTGAAGGATCTTCATTTTCTTGCCTGATTAAAAGCGTTGAATCTAATGAAGCCTGGTTCCCTCCACACAGCATTTATAATGAAGTCTACTGCAGCTCTCAAGCAGAAACCAGAGGAAGTCAAGTTTGCTCTGACCACATTGCAGACAGTTTTTTTTTCAACATCTAACACCCACCATCATAATCATTTTATTAATTAGATTAACCATGCCAGTACATTACCAGATATTTGCAGTAACATTAGCAAACCTATCTGTCACATAAAACACCCTCTCATGACAACTCATGATTTGTCTAATCATGCAATCTACTAATTTGTACAATAAGCTAAAATCATATTACATTATATGACTTAGATTGTACACACACTTTCATAGTTTTCTTCCTGTTATTATGGTCAGGTTTAGGTTTGAATTTGAACGATTTTATCTTATGAGCTCATACAAATTATTAAGAATTCTCATGAGACTGGGTTACTGTGTCTAGTCACACTTTGTGTAGTGATCCTTAAGAGTTTCTGCAAAGTGACTTTGTTGGCAGACATCATAGAGCCACCATTTTGCTGCAAGGGGTGAGGTGTAAAGTCACAAATGACCTAGTGCATCAAACAATTCTATGCAAAGAAAACATCATGGCTATAAACAGACAATACATCAATTTAAAACGTAGAATATGAGCAAGTTTTAATAATATGTGAGATTATTTGAAACTGAATGTTTAAGAAACATGCTAAGGTCTCTCTATCTCTCTCTCATTTAATGCCTTTATCTGTGTACCACCAAGAGTTTGGCAACAGCGCTTTGGTTACATCTGTCCCCATGCCAGGTACAGTTAGGGTTAGAAAAAAAATATTTTAATGCTCATTAAAGCCTCTTGAGGGCAGCAGAAGACAACTACAATTTAAAGAACATGACATGGCATCTGATTATGCACATCTGCAGTCTAATTAAGAAAAAAAAAAAAACCTTAGTGACTGTGTCTGTATATCACTATCAGAATAGACTACTTAGTCATTTGCTGCATATAATGCAATAATATAATACAACAATGCACATACTAAACACTCTGCTTTTGCACGCAAGGTATTTTTTTTGGCATAATAACAATGTGAAAAACCAAAGACATTAACACTATAGTAATGACAAGTAATGCATTTCTAAAGCAAAACAATTGTTATTTGTGCCAAAGAGTGCAAACTAAAACAAACATACAACATATGTTACAATGAGGTGGTGCTTGTCCTTGGTGCAACACATTTAGCCTATTTCTGTAAGACATATGAATAAAAAAAAGTTTAGATTGGGAGCACGTGTACACCTGAACTCACTTATATAGAATAACACTCTTTAAAACACAACACAACAGTATGATAATTTAATGTCACAGTAGTTTTCTTATTTCCAGAACTCAGTCATTACCCAGTTCAAAATTTAAAGGGACAATATTTATCCGTTTCATTCAAGCTGTCAATAAACACTATAGGCTACACATACACAACCAAACCAATATGCTGATGTAAACAAGTATAATGTGAAGGGCATGTTCATGTCAAGGCTGTGTGTTTCAGTTCCTCTGCGGTTCATTGCACTGGAAACTCAGCATTCATGTCATTCTTTTGACGATAATAAAGTCACAGTGACAGCAGGCTTGTGTCAAACATAATTCAACAAACTTCAGTGTTTAAAAACCATACAGAGATCAATATGTTTGCCTGTCTCTGTGTGTACTATTATTGTTTTGTTCAATCTTAGAGACTCTGGGAACAGAAATGACTGTTATGATTTGTTTCTCACTAAACACATGATCTGCCCACTTACTAAACACTTACTTGCTCACCAGGTCTGACTACAAGTTAAAGTCTCTCCACCCATCAGGTTACCAGGGAATATTACAGCCTCTTTAATTACAGCACTTGTTGAGTCAGTGAGGATGAAGACGAGAGAGAGGAACTATGAGGAAGATCTTTCTGGATTGATCCCAGATATGACAACCAAAACCATCAATGCAGGTATCTATATCTCTCTCTATTCTCTTCAGTAGAGAGTAACTGTTTTTCTGTTTGTTCAACTCATCTGTTGGAGTTGTTAATATCAAGCAAAATCTGAACAGCAATTTATGGAAAATCCAGACTGTATTCAGCTGTTTTCAATTCTCTTTCTCTCTCTCTTTTTCTCTGTAGGTCAGAATGAGGATGTTGTTGGGAATTCTGCGTTTTTGTCCTGTTTTTACAGTGACAATAAAATAAAGTCAAGACTTGACAGTGTATTGAGACACAATGAGTGGGAATATATAAGACATTATTCAGAGAAATGCTTTACTTGATCCAGAATACAACATTTTCCCAGAACAGTTTACGAAAGGAAGCTTCAATCTCATACTCACGTAAGTATGAGTACTTGGATCAAATGGCGCACCAGATGCAAGGAAAAGACCAGCTTATTTTGTTATTATTATATATACAAATTAATTATTGTTCAGAGAACTTTCCACAGTATTTTGTAGTCTAACTAATGAAAAAAAAATAAAAGCTTTTGTCATTTCTTTTATTGATGAACTAAAGACCAGACAGATTATTCAAGACAACTGAGATCAGAAACATGCTCATTATTACTAATGGTGAAAATTCAGTAGACGATCAAGAGTCACATGTGAAAAGCATGTGATAGTCAACTTGTGTCTCAGGAGTCTTGAATATACTGAAGGAACGCATATCTAGAGTGCAGCTCTTTCTTTCTTTTTTTTAATTAATTAATTTATTAAAGTAACAAATAAGTCTCTCAACATGTTTCTACACACATACAGGGAGGGATTACTTTAAAAGAGACACATTGATATACCAGATAGAATGTAGAAGAAAATAAACAATTAAATGAATAAAACAGAAAACAATAAAATAAAATAAAATAAAATAAAATAAATATTGACAACAATAATTTCTTCCTTTTTTCTAGCAACAGATTCAAGATCCAAAGTGATGTAAGGTGTAAGGTGATGTAAAGCAAGGACGTTACTATGCAAATAATTCCTCCATAAAGTTTAACAAGGTATCATTCTTTTTGATTTGATTGACATTTAAGATTGTTTCAATGACTCCATTTCTATTAAGAATCATTTACAATTAGGCTAGGTATGCATTTTTTTGTTTGTGGATGTGATGTTTACATTACAAAATATAGGAGTTCACGACAAACTCAAACATTTTGCTTCTGTGTGTGGAAGAATATATAACATCTTTTAGAGGCAGCTTATATAATTAACATTTCTTGGGGCAAATAATAATAATAAAAAAAAAAAAAAACATTAGACCACAATTACTGTTATAAATCAAATGAGCCAATTCCTATAGTACAAAAAGTGAAGTTATTGTGGATGTTTATGAATTTTGATAATGATACATTGCATTGGTAAATTTAGTGAATATTTTAAAGGTTACATCTTTAATCTCGAGTGCGTTTCTGATCATTTCACCTGGGGCAAGTTCAAGCTCAAACCGGTGTGCACCGTTTTGCTACGGTTTCCGGTTTGAACGACATGTTTCCTGGAAACGGTGTGCAACGGCGTGCAACGGGGTTTGAGATACGTTTTCTCTTGTTTGGTGGGTGTGTCAAACATGTCAGCCCAATCAGCAGCAACATGTAT